GAGAGAGAGAGAGAGAGAGAACTCAATATAATCGTCTTTTTTTTATGAAGCATATCTGAAATTTTATTATTGTTACACTTTTGTGTACATTAATGTACTCTATATATATATATATATATATATAATTCCATTTACCTTATATATTTAATAACAAAAAAAACTTGTCGACAATGCAATAGATATGCATAATAAATCGTGATTAATGGAGGATTGTCGCTAGTAATTGCGAACGTGATAATTCCAACAGAGGAATCGTATTATATGTAAGATAGCAAGATGTAATTTTAATCGAAGGGAACTTGGAATTATCGTTAAAAAATACATTTGAGCTGCATTTATTAGTTGAATAAAAAAAATATGTGCTACAATTATATTATGGCGCTAGAGGCAATTATTTAAATAATAGAACAATTTTGAAATTTTTAGTAAATTTTCATGTTTCCTGCTTTTCAAACAACATAATAATGCAGGTCTCGTAAAATCTCATTCTGAGAAATGAAATAAATTATCCACGAAAAAGTTTATATCTGTTTATATATATATGTATGTATGTATATATATATATATATATATATATATATATACATATATATATATAAACAGCTAGATGTATATGAAAATAATTTTCCAAGGAGAAAGTTTGTTCGAAAACAAAAATTTGTAACCGAGCTGCACTTTTCTTGGATTACTGTGTATTGCACAATTAGAATAAGTGGAAGATCTCATACGCGCGCGCGCGCGCGCGCACACACACACACACACATATACACACACACACACACACACACACAGAGAGAGAGCAGTAAGCAGACAGAAAGATTACGAACATATGTACTTAAACCAACAAAATCTTGATTACATTAACATACACATGTGTATTAACATACACATTATTAATGTCTCGTAGTATTGCACATGCAGCATCTCATATTTTATCCATGGATAAAACAACGTGGCCAGTAACAAAATTACGTTTAGATAATTCTTCCATCTTACCACATAAATATGCCATATTAATTCAAGTTACTTTTTAGTAACCAAATAACATTTTTATTACATGCTGTAATTAATTATTATTAATTGAGGTTGCCATAAACCGATGAACCATGTACGAATTCCGAATGCAAGCAAAAAATTTTCTTTTTTGCTTGCACAGTTGTTTATCAATGAATTGTATGTACTGATATATTTATTTGTTAAATTTCTATCTTTATTCTACAATGTATATTTTTATGCAATATTTCTATCTAGTCATTTATATATTTTAAAGATTTACTTTTTTTGTGTAATGTTATATAATAAACATGTCGATATAAAATTAAACGTTTATTATTATATTCTTGGAGGAAGGAAGGGAGGAACAAATTATTTGTACAAGATACAATATTGTGAAGAGAAAGATTGCAACATTTTTTTCAATAAATTTCCAGAATTTCCAAATTAAAAATGATAAAATAACAATTTTTACGTATATTTATTGAAATTTATTGAAAGTGCCATGTTGCAATCTTTTTATCCACACGCGATATGTAATAAATTCATTTTTAACTGTATAATGTAAGATAGTAAATTAATATGTGCATAATTGTATTAAGATCTCTATAGAAAATCAAACATCCAGTAACGTCCCTCTAGGTCTTGATCGCTTTGAATCTGTTTCAGTAGATGGTATAGTTTTTCGTTTATTCATACCTTTTCTTTCTAACTGTTTTTCTATGATACGTGCGTTGTTCGCGTAGGAGTCAGCGACTTCTCTCTGAAATTGCAATTATTTTTTTTTTTATAAAAACTTTTATTATTATTTAAAAGACAAACAAGTTAACTAAAAGATATACCATAAAACAGAAACAATAGGCAAACAGATGAATTCTATTATTTAAAATAATTGTGATTAGATTAGAAAATTTAATATTCATCTTGCCATAGCTATATCACAATACTTGATACTTGCTCAACTTTTTTGAATATCGTAATCTGTAAATTATTTTGGAAATATATAATATATAATAACAATATTGACATACAGCTTCAATTTCATCCTCTTCTTCATCAATTGTGGATACAGTAACCGAACTAAATTTGCCCATATTTTTGGTATGTTTAGTAACCATTATTTTTTTAGGTTTCTCAATGGCCACTTGATTATAAATGTCTGTCATAGGACCCTCTCCAGAACTTCTTATTACCGAATCTTTTACTACAAATACTATATTTGCTCCTGGATCATGCTTATAATACAGCAATAAGCCACATCTGTCAAATAGATAAATTATATATACCTATATATATTTTTTTTGTAAGATGCTAAAATACTTTTGCAAGATATTTCTCCAACATTTTTATGTCATAAAATTATTAATACATGTCAAACTAATTAATAAAAGCTGCATATATTTCCAGTGTATGAATAAAAAGTACAATGCACTAACACAAATAAAGTAATATTCGTACTTTTTACATTTTTGTCTATATTGTTTTTCAATTCCTTCTGGACGCTTGAGAAATACAATCTCATCTCGCTCTGAAGTCATTTTATGAGCATGCTTACTGCCGTCGATTACCCTTGCTCCATCTCTTTTCCTTAATGGTAATTTTTCAATAGCACAATCTATAAATAAATTACATTTATATAAATATTGAAAATGTTTTACTTCTCTCTCCCTCTCTCTCTCTCTCTCTCTCTCTCTCTATCTCAATATTAAGAGACGTTGCGTTACAAATAATCGATAATTAACCTTCAAATGGCACAAGAGTGCGAATTTGCACCGCTAAAATTTTTGACATGTTGACATTTTCACAAAGTATCTGTCGCGGCTGTTCGCTGGATAGTCGTTGCACCAGTGTGCCATTAGTGGATGCTCGAACGAAGTGTGACATTTGAAGGTTAATATCGCGCGATTTAAGTAGGTACCATACAACTAGAAAATAGTATCTTTTGTAAGATATTTTCTATAACATTCAAATCATAATCCTAAATTAAATTTAACTTTTAACGTACGCGACAAAAATGATGTGTTTTACATTGTAGACACTACTTTTTTTAGAAATTCATAAATATAATATTACTAACCTAAAATTAGTGTCATCTGGCCACATATACAATAATAAATATGCAACGGTTTCTCCTCGCTGTATTCTTCCTGATCTTTTGTATCGGAGCATATAATGCTCCTCGACACTACTTTTGGCATAATTTATCCAATTATATATTTATTTCATTCAAATTTTTACACTCACGCCAAAGAAAAGCATGAAAACAACCATGCCACAAAACATAATGACTGATTGCTCCATCTCGTCCATCGGCCATGCACTTTGTGGCACGATGTAGCACGGACACGCACCTCATTTTATCGACAATGTCGATGTAGCCCTGACTCGAACCACATCCATTCTCTCTCTGCCTGTGATTTTATCGGCAATATAAAAAAATGTAACTACATAGTTCCCAAAAGTGGATGTAATGATGGTAGTATATGTATGTATTGTACATACATACAATACAGAGGAGTTCGCCAGTATTAATAAATAACTCGTAGTACTAGAGTGTATGTATGTACAATGTATGTATATACATACATAGATTCATATCATTATACATATATACTTTAAAGTATTTGAATAATTTAATATTTAAAGTGTAATTACATAAAGTATAATTTTATTATTCAATCAGCTTAATGAGATTTTCCTAGCTGCTACTTGAGCTTATAGCAATCTTAATCGCGGCGTTGAGAAGTTATTTCAAAATTGATATTTTCCTCCAATATATAAGATATATATGATTATATGTATGTATATAGTTTCATTTTTATACAGTATTCTAATACATTCCACGTTATATAATTTTTTTTTACAAGCGTACGTATAAGTATAAAATATATATATATATGCTTATTATATATGTATGTGTATATTAAATTATTGATTGCGCTCGTTTGTCACTTCTATCGAACACATTATTCGTTTATATCGCTCCAATATATATCTAAAAACAAAATAATTTTATTAATATTATTATTGCACATAATAAAATTAATTCACACAATAAAATGTATGAATTTATTATATTATATATAATTATTTAAAGAATATGATATTTTTTACCTAATACAAATTAATAGCGTAACAAAAATTACAAATTATAATTCATTTTAATATCCTATAATTTTTAAATCAGGTAAAAATATATATTTGAGCAGAGAAAAGAAGATCAATATTAGATTTGATTTTATACTTACTTTTCAGCTACACAATCTCCTATCCAGTCAGACATATCGATCATTATGTGAAACAATCGTTCTAAATATTGCTTAATACACAGCATAATTACATCTTCCGAGTAACATTGAAACGGCGTATAATATGATTTGTATAAATTCATATTATTACTAGAACTTTCAATTTCTTTACCAAATATTTCCCATACCTAAAGAAATGCATTTTTGGTAATAAAAGAAAAATTTTATATTCATACTTTCATTAAATATTTATTATAACATTTTTTTATAAACATTCTAACACAATTAATGTATAAGTTTTGTATCTTTATTTTTATCGTTCTGTACAAACTAATTGCTTTTCTCACCTGTACCCATTTTCTCGATAATAGTTCTCGTAACGATTCTCTATGTTTAAAGCGTTGTAAAGCATAAATAGCCTCGACGCCCTCCTCAACAGTCTTCATCTCTTTAAATATACGGTCGATCAAATTTTTAATCATGCTCTCCAATTCTATCACAAAGTTTTTAAATTTGAGCATGTTTTCTAACCACGAAAATTTTTTAACGTCTAAAATGTCGTCGCGAATTGATTTGATTTCATCGAGACTCTCATAAAATAGAATCTCTATTTGACGACAGTAAGCGTCATATTCGATACCTTTTGGACCGCCAATCATTCCCACTTTATTACATCTGTATAGAAATTATTTATATTATAATTGCGTACGACGTGCGCGTGTGAGAAAGATAAGTATAGCAATTCTCGTGTTAAATTATTGTTCTGACGTGCAAAATATTCTATTATGTCTTACCTTCCAAATACTATTGTAGAATTGCATATTTCAATGATATCGTGACATCTTTGTATAAACGTATCCATGTAATTAAATATTAATTGTTCGTTGACATCCCAGATGCTGCTTGATTTAATGAGCGCAGTTATCTTCGTGATCTGCAATTGATCAAAAAAAAGGACGATGGAATTCTACTATAAAAACTGCACGTCTAATTTGATCAATTTTCTTGGAATTAAATTATTTATTAAACTAATTTTTACTTATATAGTTTGTTTCAATTAATATTTGTTAAGATGGACTAGTTTATTTTTTTTTGTTTATCACTTGATGGTTTATATTTCATGTTTGTTAAAGATTATTCAGAAACTCTATATATATGTATATATATATATATATATATCTTGCTTGGTGGAAGTTTGATAAAATTGACCATAAAAATATATTAAAAATGTTGATAAATACTTTATTATATATCATCTTGTATATCTGACAACAAGAGATGCATTTCCGAAGTATGTTTATCCCATTTTCCATATCGCCTTCTAATATTACTTGCAAATTGACATACTTCTTACATTGATGTACTATTTGAATGCTTACAGCTTCACAAAGCACCTCTATATTGTTTCTAAAATAAACATAAACTTAATTCTTTTATTTTTAACATAATGAATAATTTTAAAATATAAATAAGTGAAGAAGAATCGATTGAAATGTTACGATTAAATGGTCGCAAAAATAACATATTTTAATTAAGAGTCGATCTTTTATTACATTATAACTGATTGCTCAAATTCCAAATGTTTTTATAAGGTTCTCTACTATTAAATATAAAGCTAAGGCTAAAAGACCGTACGACATGTTATAAAACGGGGATTCTGTCCAGATGAATAATATCAAAAATAATATTTTCATCACAGGCTTTTCGATCTCTTCTGGACATTTCAGATTGTTACAGGTCTCTGATAAAATATTCAAATATATTATATTGGACGCAGCTTGTTCTAATCCTTCGCGAAGCTGTAATGTCAAAAGTTGGAAAGAGTCCACGCTCGGTGAACAAACGTTCTCTAGCAGATGTAATATCGATTGAATTTCCAAATTCGATAATTGATCGTGCAAGCAGCATAAATTAAAATCTGCAAATTAAATATTTTATATTATATTTCGAGACAATTTAAAAATAAAAGTTTGAATAAACACATAAGTGCAGCAATCAGTTTGCTACATAAATATGTGTAGCACATTCGAACACTAACATCTTGCTGTCCAACGTTGCAACTCGTCGAATATGGTTCGTCCACTTTTGCTGGTGGATATGCTCGTCAACACTTCTCGTATCTGTTTGATCCAATATCGTACAATTCTTTCTAATCTATCAATCAATGCCTTTTTCGACTCCTGCAATTCTTTAGAAATATATGGACCTGCATTTGTCAGCTCATTGTCAGATAAATTCGGCTTTTTGTCTCTCGGTGCAGGTGTCGCGGCGATATCAGGCAGATTTTCTCTCGGCACGTACAATTTGCAGGTCAAACTGATCGGCTTGTAAATCCATTCGGTTAAGCACATGAGAAAATTGTGTAGATTAAAAAACAGATTGTTTCGGATAACTGCGTTCTCGCGTTAAAGAAAAATTTTATCTATGAGATTGACATTTGAAAAGCCAAAACTCTCAAGTACTACAATGATTTCAAAAATGCTTTGAATTTATATACTTGTAATAAAAATGTCAATTCTTTGCTGTTTTCCAGAATTCCAAAAGATATTTAAGTGTAACAGCAATTAAAATTGTTATTTTCTGAATGTACAATTGTGATATTAAACAATTGTTGAAAAAAAGATACTCTCTGGCCACTCGCCACTGTTGCGTGCGATGGTCACATACATGTTTTCCATTACATTCAATACACACATCATTGAATTATGATTAATGCTGCCAAATACAACTGTGGCATGAAAATTATCAATTGTTAATACGTGCCACGGTATTCGCAAGAAATACACGAAATCATTTTGGTTCGCGTCCAAGATGCTTAATCCTGCTTTTAATGTATCAACTTCGAAATATATACATAATAACGTGCAAGCTGGATTTTCAAAATACTCGCGAATTATCGTGCAACACTCCTCTTTCCAATCAGAATCCTCGATGGAAGTAGGAAGAATTGTGAAATCTTTTACATATTGTACCTAAAATAAAATAAGTCATATATATAAAATTAACGTGTATAATTATTATCGTTTGTATAAACGCGTTTGTCAGAAAGTTCTAACTGATATATATATTAATTGACTCTAAAATTATTCTAATTATTTTTTCCAATTCATAGTTGTTATAATAACCACGTATATAGTTTTTCAAGTCATTTATAATACTATTAAAAAACGTAGAAAATCAATGAAAACGTCGCTGATCTTGGATTATGTATATATAGTACGTAATATCATGTAGCATTATGCTGCAATTACAAACAGAATAAAATAAGATACAATTACGAAAAATAAAAAATAATATCCATATATATAAATGTATTTAAATGTGTCGAAATAAACTTGGAACAATAACCAATTTATTTAAATCCTGTTCATCGAATATCGGTTTAATCGGTTCGGAAGAAAGCTCCTCTTCGGTTTCGAGACTTTCTGAAAGATTTTAGAAAGGAACACTTAATTCATATGTGTATATATATATATATATATATATATTTAGTCAATTCGGCGAATATCGCGCGGAAATGTCTAAAAAAAAAAACAAGATGATAATGACAAAATAACCTTGTCGACCAAAATCTTCATCGTCTGTATCCATGTCTAAAAATTCTCGATGAGGATCCAATAACAACTTGTCCATTTTCTTCGTTTTCTCCATTTTTGCCTTGTTTTGTTTGTTAGTATTTACAAAAAACGAAGCGCACGCGCAAACACCAATATATTTTATTTTATATATAATAATGGTAAACACGTTAATTATTATTAGCAAAATAATCTAGAGCAAAAATGTATTTGACAGTTATAGCTGACTGATTGATAGCGACTCGTGTCTTATTGCTAAGCATTGTCAAGTAACGCAATTGCATCGTAACATCGTATCGATAAAACTAAATAACTGCAGATGTGGGTGAAACACTTGGACGCGCGCGCACGGCGATATAACGATCAATAACAATCAACAACGATTGAAGAAAATTCCGACTCGTAAAACATGATAATCAGATGTATAAACACGTATGACGAAAAAATTTCTTCTAATTAATGTTTAAAAACAAAATTTCCTAGAAAGGGAAATTTAATCTCATGGCTATATTCAATATTTTAAAACACGTCCATAGACCGACCAAATTTCGTGACTGTCAAATGGGCCCGACGAATAATTGAAGAACGATGACATTACCAACTATTGGCTGCACCGAGGATAACAAACACGCGCGCGGCGATGCAGATCCATTTATTAATTTACGTAACCTGCAAATCGATCATTGATCAATTAATTTATGATTATTTTATTATCGACAGTGAAAAGATTACATATTTATTATTTTTCATATTTATTAATTTTCGCAACATTTGTTGTATACATGTATGTACCTTTGACTATATAATCATGGACCGCTAGTTGCCCCGTCCCACCACCCCTCTCACCCATAAGGTTATGTATCCAACATGAAGTTGGCTTTAGCCCC